CTGTTCCCTCCCTTTTATATAAATGTGATTTCCAGAAGTGATAACAAACACTATTCTAGTCCTGTTCTTCATCTAAACTGATAATTTTAATTAAAATGATGGCTAATCACTCTTCCTCTGAGTTCTCAATTGTGTGTGCTTACGCGCCGAGCACCGCACTGCCCTGGAGGCATAGGAATGTAATTTTTTAAAAATGTCTTCTCTGGAAGTTTACAGTGGTAGAGAGGGGTGAGTAAAGAGACAGACAGATCATGAGAAATAGAGTCTCCAACTGGAAGGAAAGATGGCTAACGATAGAGCTAAAGGAGTGAAGAGAAGCTATCCACATACCAAGGAGTTCAGACATATTGTAAGTTAATAGAGAGATAGTGACTTTTTAGAAAGAAGAAACATGGTCATGTTTTTATTTTTTAAAAAGCACCTTGGGAAGCCTTATAAAAAGGAGAGGTAAGGTGATACACACATATAATCCCAGCTCTGGGGAGGCTGAGACAGGAAGATCACTTCAAGTTCAGTGTCGGCTTAGGCTACATAATGAGTTCTAGACCAGGCTGAACCACATAGCAAGACCCTGTGTAAGAAAAAAAAAGTTTAAAACACAGGGTTGTGAAGGGGTAGCATGGTGGGCACACCTGAGGGAGCCTGGCTAGGGAAGCTATTGTAGCATTTCAGTAGGAAACTGCATATCTGGATGAAGTAGTGGGCCTGAAAAGGGCTTGGGGTGGGGCTGAGGAGGGTTTGAGGTAAGGTTATGGAAAAATGGGGGCAGCAGGATATGGGAATTGAGGGAAAAAAGTAAGTAGGCAGGTTTCCACGCCTCTGGCTCCACATCTGGAGAAAAGCTGTCTGCATCCCAGCATTTTGGGGAAGAAGACGCCTTGAGCTTTTGCACTAGCCCCAAGTCACCTGTCTTGGCTTTTCTGGTCCGCTTTCCTGGCAAGCTTGGAGTCAGGCCCTAACAGGGCCTTAACACATCCCTTTGAAGGTCCAAAGGAGCACAAAGCCTTTCAGGATCCCAGAGCTGCAAAAGATGTTCTCTTTACCCAATTCTTCCAGTGCCACCTGCAAGGGCCCCCAGAACAGAATGGTCCCCTTGCCAAGAGAAGCTCATGAAGTGGAGGTGATGTGCATATCCTGCGCTACCTGAAGCCCTGACCTGAAGTTAGGGAGCCACATGAGCTCTGCTGAGGGCAGGGCAGAGGATTATCAGGTTTCACAAAAGACCAGCTGCTCACTGTAGGAAAAAAGTAGCTTCTGGTTAAGGTGTTAAGAAAGCATCAAGGCGCAGTAAATATTTTCATCTTTTATATGAGATTTTAATATATCTTTTTGAAAGATTTATAACTCATATAATCTATGGTTCATGAAAAAAACAAGGATCGGCCAAATTTAGGTTCAAAGTAACATCCCAATGTTTTGTTTCTTGGCTTTAATGGCCTTGTGAACTGAATTTATTTATGACTTGTCTGCTACAGTGTGAAGATTTACTGACCACTCATTTTAAGTAATGCCTGTAAATCCTTTCAATAATGTAGATAGGCCTTAAAAGGGAAATTATACATCCAATCTTTACTGTAATTCTGCACTTTCTTACAGGAAGAGCACAGCCCCCCGGGGTTCCATCCCCAGCATGCTGTGCCGGCCCTGCCCCTTGGGTGCACTGAGACAGCCTTTAAGACTAGGTGTGGTGGTGCATGCCTGTAATCCCAGAGTTTGGGAGGCTGAAAACAGGAGAATCAACTACAAGTCCGATCTACAGAGTAAGACCCTATAGTCCCTATACCAAATACATAAAAAAATAATAATGAGATAATAATAGGGGCCATAGAGATAGCTCAATAGAATAAGGGCTTGCCTGGCAAGTACAAGGTCCTGAATTCAATTCCCAGTACCACAAAAAATGAAATAAGATAATAATAATTTATCAAGGGCCCAGCTTGGCGGCTTAAGCACCTACCTGGTAAGTGTGAAGTCCCGAGTTCAATCTCCTGACCCCCACCCAGCCAAAAAAAAATTGTTGACTTGAAAATGACCACTCTTTGGTGAAATGGTGGCAGCAGGAGCCAGAAATAGAGGGAAAGAGTCCATTTTAAATCCTCTTAAGTTTCATAGATGCTGTTTCTTATAATTTTTTAACTGCAAAATTTTAAATTTCAACCTTAACAGTTGAAAGACTAGGGACCAGGGAGATTTACAACTCTCCTGTTCTCGTGTGATACATACTGTCTTCCCTAGGCACTGACAAGTGGCTTCCTATGTCCTGTTTGAGATTTTGTATCGTAAAAATTTCCCCCCAATTAAGGGTACTGTGTCTTATGTTAAAGAGATAAGATGAGAAACTATATAAAAATAATGAAGGCTTTCAATATTTATATCAAAACTATGATACAATTATTGCAGTGTTACCAGCCTTGTGATATTAAAGGTTTTTTTTCATAAAGGTTTTTAGCTCCTGTTGTTTTGTGGGCACAGGAGATTAAACACTGGGCCCTCACACTGAACTACATTTCCAGCCCCCCTTTTAGTGTTCGTTTTGCAGCAGGGTCTCATCAAGCTGCCAATGTGCCTGCCTGGGTTCCCACTTTTTCATCTTCCTCCCTCAACCTCCCACAATGCTCAGCTTACAAGAGTGTGCCACCATTGTTGTGTTTTTGTTTTGTTTTTTAAACAGAAACTGTAAAGTACCCTCTTTAGTGTCTTAGAAATTAGAGTTTGGAAACCAGCTTCACATAAGTCTGCCTCTGTTCAGGGGAAAGTGGAAACTTATGGATAAGTAGTGCTGATTTATTACAAAGCAGTTAAAATTCTTGAGTAGAAAAACTTCCGCTGAGTGTTGTGAAAGAACAGGAACTGCTTGTTAGACAGAAGACAAAGAGAAGAATGTGTACACTTAATAAAAACATCCATAAAGCAAGGATCTGATAGCTTTCTGATAGCCTGTTGACATACATCTTGAATGTCTGGATTCAAAATAGTTATCTGATCCTTCCGGATGCCCTTGTAGGCATCATCTTGAGATATGCAGGTAAGTCCTTCCTTAGTGGCTTTCTTACAGTGTGTGGGGGTGGGGGTGTGAGTGGGTATGGGTGGGTCCAGGCATTCAACCCAGGACCAGAGGCACAGTAGGCAAGTATTCTACTAGTACCAAGCTAAATCTCTAGCCCCCAACTCCACTTTAAGAAGCTCTTTTAACGTTCCTTACATCCTAACTTTCCTTTTTACACTCTTAGCCTCTTTTTGTCTAAAACAGTTCCTCACCCCTCTTTTCATTTTCTGGACCCTGCCATGTTTAAATCATAGAGGTCAAGGAAAAATTCCTGCCCACCATTTGAAGATGTATTGGAATAAACATGCAGACAAAATAGGACAAAGAGCATGCAAGTTTCTTAATGTGCAAAAAGTGAAAGATCACAGGAGTGTGGTTACCCACTAGCCCAGGAAGAGTCAGTGACTTATATACTCCTTTTCTATAGGGCAAGGGGAGAATGGACAAGGTCAAGGAGATAGTGGTATTTTTGAGGAACTGAGTGAGCTTGGAGAATATACTGGAACAAAGTGTATTGGTGCAATGGAACAGTCAAGGGGATGTAAATAACACTCCATGGGACTAAAAGAAAGGCCAATAGTGTGTGACAAGTTTTCCAGGTGTCCAGGTGGTACCTGCCTTGTTTCTCCATTGTGAATTTATTGTTTTCCCCTTTGTAAGCATAGGCAATAAGTAGAGAGAGGGAGAAATGCCCATTGCTCATCATCCACCTTCACCTATAGTTTGAGAACTGTATGTCCATCATACTTTGTAAATTATGACATATATAAATATGTCAAATTATTATAATATACATATATGTATGTCTATATTTTACTGTAATGAAAATAACTTTCCTCTCCATCTGCTGATTCATTAATTTACATGCGTATGGACTCATAGTTCCTTGTTTTATTCCATTGACTATAATCCATTCCTATCACTATATTTTGATGCCTCAGATTGGTGAGTGTGAATTCCATCAAGCTGGATCCCATCAGTGCTGTAATATAAGTATTTGTAAGCAGTGAATTTGGCTAAAGAAAGATGCTGTCTTTATATAGCAGGCCACCCATTGCCACTGCTTGTCTTAAGTGGGACTTCCTCTGAGAAAGATCCATGCCCTTTGCTGGCTACCCACAGAATATATTTGTCCTTGCCACAGGTGGCTCAGCTGCAGGTATTGGAAGATTGTCCTTTTCAAGGTGGGAGACTTACTGCTTACTCTTACCACTAAAGAACAGTTGTGGGGCTAGATACAAACGAAGATATCAGGGTGCCAGGATTACAACTTCCTGCCCTTGTGTAGAGATGGATGTATCTACTGTTAAAATTGCATTTTGAGTCTAAATTATGCAGTCCTTGAGGTACACAGTTGGATAGT